CAGCACGTGGCAGGGCTATCTGGTCATTTCAGGCCGTCGATTGCCCTCTCGGACGGGTGCGATAAGTGAGTTACAGCCCTCGGGGTCGGGGATCCGAGCGACATCCACTTCCTCGGCGTCTATCCCCGTCGGGCTCCCGCCCTCGGGGGATATCTCGCCTCGGGAGCTGGATATCGCTCGTATCCCCTCCCCCTCGGGCTATAACTACTACTTGCTGAACTGGCACAGCTGCATCTCTCCTGCCACTCCGATCCACCTTTTTCAGAGGGGCATCCTCCATCCTGCGCCTCTGCAGGAATGGCTGGAGAAGCGATCAATTGCTCAGTGCTTGCGAGTGAGTCGAAGGGTGGTCTGCTTATGTTGTGAGGATGAGGCCAGGACACTCTGAGGCTCACATCTGTTTGGCACGCCCTAAACATCGAGGGATCCCTTGAAACAAAAGGGCGAGAGGTTTGGTGCTCAGAAGAGCTGCTGGATGTAGCTGCAGGGTTGTGTTCTTACCGGCTTTGCTGCAGCATTGTGAGCACTCAGACAAGCAGTATTTTCATCACGGCAACTTTTGTGACGCCTGTCTGGGAGCCGCAAGACACAATTGACCCTCACAGAAATGCTGGATGCGCTGTCAGATTTGGCAGCAAATTCCGGGTGCATTCGCTTAATTTTAAAGCCTACCAAGGAGATTATGTGCCGAATCACAGGGTATGAGTGCAATGCATAGGGAATGAGCCAGAGGTAGAGAAATTACCCAGCAGAAAGGACAGGGAAGAATCAGGAGAAAGACAAGTCCTGATTGCGTAACCGAGGCGAGAAGGCAGGAGGTTGGCCATCCAGGGCAGGCAGGGGCGGAGGCATGGCGGACGACATCACTACGCGCTACCGCGAGGCGCGGGCCAGGGTGAAGGAGACGCGAGAACGATTGCTCATTACACGCCGTCAGATTGCAGATCAAACTAGTGAGGCGCCCCTCATTCTTGAACTGCTTTGCTTCTAAGTTTTCTTCTCCTTCCGCTGTAGTTCCCCACTTCATGCTGCGGATTAGTCTCTGCCCTAATGCAAGCAAACACTCCACCTTGGTATCAAGTGGGGCAACCTTTTTACAGACTTGTCACAAAAGATCCGATGTTGCTTAGCTGTTTCTCTCACAGCGATGCGTGTGCAAACGCGATTGAGGAAAATCGTCGAGCGCTCTTTGCAGCGCCAGCCGCCTGGGCAAACTTTGTTTGTTCAACTTTGCCCATTGCGCGCTACTCTGGACGTACTGGGAGAGAACTGCACCAGCCTTTTCAATGTAGTTGCTGACTTTTTCAAAGTCTTCTTGTGCTATACCCACACCCTGATCTAGGGTTACTTGTTCGTCAAGCCGTTGATTCCTTGAAGATGTAGTGGAGTAGCTGTTGGTTGCCACCAGAAGATGCTCATGTCCATGCGTGCTAGGGTCAAAATCTGAAGGATGCTGTGACATTTTGCAGCAATCCACTCTCATTGGGGCCTGCAGCTTGTCATCGAAGCAGGACATCTGTGCGACAACTTTGCACATTCAAATGAGAGCCATTCGTACGGACTTTAAGGGGCAACAAGGACTAATTTCACCATATATTCTACCTTACATTGTGCAAGTTGGTTACCAATGTTTCCTCAAGTCGACAAGCATGCAGGGTAATCTCCGCAATCTCAGACCATCATTGGACGACCTTTGCAGGGCAAGGCAAGGCAGTGGCGAGTTCTGATAGATGTAGCTTTCTGCTGTGCCCTTGACGACAGCCCCTGACCTGGCCTTGTCTGCTGCAGTTGACAAGGTGGCGGGGGGTCGCGTTGTCCCTGCGCGCATCAACTTCCAGCTGGTGCGCACCCTGACTGGCCACAGCGCAAAGGTACGCCCTTTCCTCATTTTCTGTGTCATCTGCTGCTCGCCGCAGGTTGTCCGGGTGCAACCCCCTTGTTCAGCCTACTACGTAAGCTGTCTCGGCCTGTTTTGAGTGCGCGAGTCTAGTTTAGCTGCAGAAGGTCCCCAACTAAACCCGTCCGGTGGACGGTATGAAGAGAAGCTGACGTGGGGACACCCCGCATGCTTGCAGATCTATGCCCTGAGCTGGGCGGGCGACCGCATTGTGACTGCCAGCCAGGACGGCCGGCTGATCGTGTGGAACGCCATGACGGGGGCGAAGACACACGCCATCAAGCTGGTGAGGCAGGGCGCGCAGCGTGGCTTTACATCGCTTTACCGGGACATGATAGCACAATACGTGCATGGCGCACTGAGCTGTGACCAGCAGTGGCTTGTTGACTTTGTCTGCTTGAACAACAAACAAAGTTAACTTATGACCAACCGGCGTGGTCTGCATCCAGATTCACTTTTGAAGGTCGAACTGAAGAAGACAAACACGTTGATGCTCGCTTCTTGGAAATCAAGGAGGGCCAGTGGCTGCTCAGACGTCAAACGTACTGAGATAATGACCGTAACAGATTTCACGAAAGACCTCACGGAGAGTGAGGGTGTGACCACAGACAGTACGTCTTAGGTAGGAGACATCCCCTGCTTTGAAGTAACCAGATTGCAGAACAAGCTGTAAGACCTTGAATTCTTTACTCATCTGCACGGTCAAAAGACCCGTGTGCTTGATGGAGTTCAAAAATCAGGCGTGTCCTTGACAGGAGGTCAACCGCAGTAAACCTCCGCTGCACCACCTGATTTCCCAGTTGCGCTTAGAAGAGAGTTCTAGTCGTGACCAGCCATGCGTGCTCAAGTGCGTTAGACGCATGACACCTGGCTCACTGCGCTGGTCGCTGCGCGGTGCAGGTGTGCCAGTGGGTGATGACGTGCGGGCTGTCTCCCAGCGGGCAGTTCGTGGCCAGCGGCGGCCTGGACAACGTGGCGTCCATCTTCAACCTCAAGAACAAGCGCGCCGACAAGGACGGCCACATCCCGCCCTCCAGGATGCTCGCGGGACACAAGGGGTCAGCGCCCCAACCTCCCACTGTTCCCTGCTAATCAAACGGCAGTGATTGAAAGAGTGATTGAAAGTGGCGCATGGAACCTCTACCAAGAAGCGCATGGCCGTGTTTCCAGGACGATCCTCGCATCTTGCAGCTTCCTTGACTCCGGTGGTCCTGGAGGTTCGGAGCTTGGCCTGTGGTGATTTGTGACGGCAGCACAGACTCCCAGACTGCCGTGCCGCTCTTTCTGGTGTTTGAAGGAGAAGCTAGCGCACTCCCTCGATTTGCACTCGCGTTGTCTTCCAGCATCGATGCTCGAAACTGCCAGAGGTTGCCAGAAGCGAGGTTCAAAGCAACCGCGGGCTGCTGATGTTCGGGATGGGTCTCACTGCTGCAAGAGAGTTATCTGTCGTAATGTTGGCTCCATGGGAGGCGCTTGAGGAAGACGCCCCGGAATCAGCGGTCATCCCCTCGAACCGTGCTACCATGAAGCGAGCATTTCCGCAACGGCCCTCCTGCATCCCACCGTGTGGCACTGATTGTGGTCGCTTGCGTTGTTGCGCAGGTACATCTCGTGCGCGCGCTTTGTGGACGACGGCAGCATACTGACGAGCAGCGGCGACCAGACGTGCATTCTGTGGGACATCAATCGCAACACGCGCGTCAAGACCTTTGGCGGACCTGACGACCCCTCTGCGCACCAGCAGGACGTCATGAGGTGCGCGCGCAAAACGAACGGCAGGCAGGCGTGCCGTTGCCGCCTGCAATGCTAAAAGCAGGGGCGTCGTCGGCACCTGAAGCTGGCGCTTGCATCCGAGTGCGTAACATCAGGAGCTTAATCTCCAGAACTAGGGACTTTCAGAAAGCACTGAAAGCAGGGGACATGGTAGGGCGGTTGTCTTGTCACTTTGATCGTCATTGTTCCTCAACTTTGTGAGGTTCAGAAGCGCTGCTGACCGGTCCCCCTCTGTGTGCTTGCAGTGTGTGCCTGCAGCCGCGCAGTGCCGACGTGTTTGTGTCGGGGTCGTGCGATGCGACTGCCAAGCTGTGGGACGCGCGCGAGCCGGGTGGCGCCATCCGCACCTTCGTCGGCCACACCGCCGACATCAACGCGGTGCAGTGAGGAGCCCGTTGCTCCCCAGAAGCTTTTTAGCAGAGCACTCAACTCCTTTGTGCTTCCCCAGTAGCTTGTTGTCGGACTTCTTGCGCAGTGCCGAGCGTTGTGTGCGTTCATGTGCTTCCCTGCGTCCGAGTCGCTTGTTCAGGCGAACTCCCTGAGCCCGCGGTCGGTTCGTCATGGCCACGTCCTCTCCGTGACCCCTCAGCAGACGGGCCGGCCTCAGGAGAGGCCGCCTCGAGTGTTGCGTGCCGTGGCGCAGCCACTAGAAGCCCCCTTCCGCGGATGGACGTGGGCCGTGCTACTCGATCCCGCTCCAAGGCGACCTCTGTTCCGGCCTAGCTGTCCCCTGTCAGTCCCGTCCCCGCCTCCCCTATGCTCCTTGGCGCCTGCTGAGCGTGCTGCCCTGCGCGCGTGCAGGTTCCTGTCCGACGGCTTCACGTTCGGCAGCGGCAGCGATGACGGCAGCTGCCGCCTCTTCGACATCCGCACGGGGCACCAGCTCATCACCTTCGCCGACAACAACCCCGCGCTGCAGCACGCCGACTACCCCATGTGCGTCACATCCATAGGTGAGCGCGCCAACCCCGCTCCGGCATGAGCGAGCAGGCCCAGAGCTCAGATGGTTTGGCTGGGGGTCCGGGTGTTCGTATCTCATTGTCTGCTTTGGCAGACCGTCGTTCTGGTTGTAAGCGCACCACCCGGCTTGCCTCGTCTCAAGTTTGGCCTGCTCACGTGCCGGCCTTCCCTGCAGCCTTCTCGGCGTCTGGGCGCATCCTGCTGGCGGGCTACTCCAACAACCTGTGCTACGCCTGGGACGCCGCCACGGGGCAGATCGCGGCCAACATCAAAAACCACAGCGGCAGGGTCAGCTGCATTGGGACGTCCGCTGACGGGTACGCAATGGCTACTGGCAGCTGGGACAATAATCTGAGGATATTTGCTCCCTCACACGCACCAATGCCAAGGGCGGGGGCTTGATTGAGGAGCTAATAAAAGAGCCAGAACGCGCAAAGTCGTCCTTCAGGCTGCCTGAATTTGCGGTCCAACGTGATACCGAGCGGGCTACTCACTGCTAAGGGTAACTAGAGCCGACACCTTGTCGTTGCAAGACTGAGAATCAACGATACAAGTTGCTAAATACCCTCTGGATCTGTCAGTTAACGAGACAATGGATCATTTGCTTGATGTGTCAACGTCTGCTTAAGGGTGTTTCTCTCATCTCAACATTCGCATCCTTGAGGTTGCCGCATACTTTATGGCCCAGAGTCCGGCCGCCGGGCTTGCCTGAGCCGAAGACAAGACACGTCATGCAGCAGAGCCGGAAGATTAATTGTAGCTCCGCATAATTGAGGTCCGACATCTCAGATCTCGCCCAAAACTTAGAGAGACAATCGGACTGTACGGGTTGATCGATTGCACATGAGGATGATCAGTTCCAAACATCAATCATCGGATCGGTCATGATGCACTGGCATTGCACAATACTAAGCTGGCCAGGCTTTACACACGAAACATGCCGCCAGGCCGTGCTGTACGGTTTGATCGAGTTGCGCGATCGGACTGTAAGGAATTGTAGGTTTCGAGTTGCGCGATCGTTATAATGGACTGTGAGGTTCTAGGTCGTGCATGTAGCGGCGCGGCGCTGTACGTGCGCACGCCGACGGCTGTGCGTTGCTGTCACCCGGCCAAGAACTTAACCATGATGCACCGCTCCATGCACATGGTGCCGCTAGCTTTTTGCCGATCGATCATGCCGCGCATCAGATAAGTTCGCTACCGTATGCATGCACTGTCGGCGGACTCATCGCGTACGGTTCATACCGTTCAATTTCGTCATGCCGCCCTATGTGTTGAACATATGAGTCCAGTCCAGGCTCTCAGATGTCGATCAGCTACATCTGAACGTTTGGTTAAGCATATATCAGTCAATGCCTACCGTACGTATAGTGTGCGTATAGTATACGTCCGCGCCGGCCAAAAACATGCATCCGATCATGCGCGGTATTCCGATCGACCAAGCTTACGTCCCCACCGTCGCGCATTGGAGCTCCATATGCACGCTAGCGTAATGCCAGAGGCCGAAGTATAACAGGCTTACTACTAAGTCTTGCAATACTCATGATTCCGACAGGACAATCTAACGGCCGGTCGCAAACGCGTTGTTCCTTAGCTACAAATCATTAGTAAATAATTACCGCTCCAGCCTCCGTTCAATTGTCTAGCCAAGGCGTGATCTCATAACACTTTGACAGTGACCGCACGAACGCCGACAATTCGCCGGCCGCCACACCCCAGACCCCCAAAATTTTGTGAAACTTTTCCCGCCAGCCGCCAGGCTGACCCCCCCGTAATTGGGAATAGAAAATCTCAAAAATTGCACTTATAACGCAGAATACGGCCCATTTTGGTACGAAATCAGCGCATATTCACTATTGATATCTCATAGGTCTGTCAAGTAGCTAAATCGACCACAATATATTGAAGCTAGACTGTCTTAGTATTTGCTGGCGGGTACTTTACCCGGCCACCGCCGGTGGGCCCGGGTGTGGGGGTCCGGGACCGCAAACTGCGGTCCACGTTCTAGCTCCGGCCTTCCATCCGCTCTGACATGAATCCTCGCAGTGGTTTGATTTTAAGGCCGACTTTTGATTGGGTTTGCACCATAGGCCGGGCCGGGCCGGGCCAGCTAACCGTCGTTTGCAAATGACCATGTAGGGCAGCATGTCATAAGGTTCGAGTGTCCCAGCTTGCGGCAGCAAAGGCATCCAAGAAACATCCAAGAAGCCAACATGCATAGTATCGCCATATGTTTCAATATGCATCATTCTGCAAACAAGAACAAACGACTCTAGCTGCACATGCAAGCCAGAGCTCTTCACTCTACTACGTGCTACTAAGCATGGTCCGAAAGTCGTTTTGCGGTTGATTCAAGGCTCAAAAAGCGACATCTTGCTTCTTGATCAACGTCGCAAACCCGCATATTCCATTGCAAGGAAAAAGAGAGGGACACTCTATGCTTCATTTGCATTTAAGCACATAGGGCGATGGAGACTACCCACAGATCCTCTTCCAAGTACACCACACTTCGTGAAGCTATGCACCAAATGCACAAGACGTAGTGTTTTCTTTGCTACTCAATCTCGCTATGAGCTCTCTTTTTGACATCCTTCAGGCTTTTAAGAACGTTCAAATGGTCCTCCCTGAAGAAGTGGTGGGCGTTCTCCGCTGACACGCCGATCTGAACTATGCACATGTCATCCTTGCGCGTCTTAGACTCCTCTGGGTGGAACACCTCTGTTGTAGCTGTCTTAAAACTCGGGAAAGCGGCCACTATCCGGATTATCCCTTTGACCCCCTTCTGTTCGAGCCCCGTTTTCAGCCTGACCAGCAACTCCTGACGACATGGATGCCCCGAGTACATCAGATCCAATGTGACAGTCCTCAGCGCATCTTCTAATTCGTACTCCGGCCGGAGCTTTGCTTGCAGAATGTTGAACCAGATTTCTGGTTCTCCATTCCCAAGCTGCACGAAGTTGGCATCATCTGGCCCCGCCCCTTCTTGTGGCAGGAAGAAGCTGATGCCCCGGGGATCTTCAGCGAAATCGACGAGCCCAAACCCCTTGTTCCCGCGTCTCACTCGGAAAGCTTCTACATCGGTAACCTTGCTCACTGTGCCGTCTTCTGTCAGGCACACGATCTGGGGGCGGGTAAAGAAGGACGCCGGCAGACTGTTCCTAATGCTAGACAGGATGGGGTGATCCGCGAGGATCTTGTCCGGGTTGAAGAAGTCCTTGAGCGCCGTGGGCATGTAGATATCCCACAAAAGCCCGGCCGGGGAAGGAAGGTCCACCTTCAACATGAGCCGCTCCACCTCGTCGTCTTGCACCCACCGCCCCCGCCACCCTGGCCACCATCGCTGCCAATGGCTCGCACAAGCTCATGCGCCAAAGCCCCTTGCCCGCCTTAACCCCACCCTCCTCGCCCCCCTTGTCCTCCTCGTCTCGGACCAGGTGGCAAAACCCAAGCTCCACCAGGTCGACCTGCTTGCGGTACTGGGGTCGAGCCACACCCATGATGTACCGATCCGTCACGAGCCCCTTCAGCGACCTGAGAATGTGCTCGTACGACTTGGAGCTCTGCAGCGCAATCATGCGCCCTATCAGAGTTCTCTGAGACGACTCCCCATCCTCATTCTCCGCCGTGTGGTGCTCCCGCAGATACTGTAGGGCATGCTTCCAATCGACATGCCAGCCGCTCTTTAACCGCCGCCGTGTCAGCTCCACGACAAACCTGTACCGTCCAGCGACCAGCTCCCAAAGACCCTCTTCGCAGTCGTCACCAGGAACGTACTCCAAAGCAAAGCTCCGCGCCTGTGATGCGAAGTTGATGCCGTAGTCGGAGAAGATTACTGGGACTCCGGGCCCTTTCCCGATGGCGGTAGCAAGCGATTCGTGCTCTGCAATGCCCAGGCGCGTGCCTGCAAATCAAAGCACCACTTTAAACTTCGTTTTCAAAGCCCAGCGTTGATGTGCACGCTATGTAAAGAACACCTCTCTGGACTGCTTTTCGATGCGCCCAAGCGGCTGCCAGAGGCCTCCGTGGAAAGCGGCAAGAGCTAAAGCCGTTAAGTGCAATGGATGTCAAGGAAGCGCAGGAGTGCAGCACAGGGAACACCTCGCTCAAAACTGACTGTCACAGAAAGCAGGCTGGTCCCCCAGAGTAGTCCAAATCTCCCTCTCTTATTCACCCGGTGCACTCAAAAGTACAGGAGAAAGGAGAAAGACCTCACCTGTGAAGAGGAAGTGGAAGTCCTTGAACGCACGATCGTTCAGAATCCGGACCCACGCATTGAGCAGCGGCCGTCCTTCAGTGTTATCCGCATTTGGGAAGTGGTCTTCTAGGCTCTTCAAACCCAGGTGCGCCTCATCTACCACCACTAGCAGGAAGTCTTGTTGCCTCAGTCGCTTGACACTGTTGACCGCGCGCCGCAACTCCATCATCAGCTCCTCCAGCGAGACGTCAAAGACGCAGCTCCACGCGTCAACCAACCAATCCTGCAAGTGGGGACACAACCGTTGTATGAAAGTAGGGCATGGCATGGGAGTGTAGGCACTGAAAGTCCGAACATGAGAAGTTGCCTGTCTGGCGCGCAAGCATGCCTCAACAAAATGCAAGTAGCTGGAAATTGGTTGCAAGATTGGCTGTACTCGAAACAAGCCTGCAACTTAACCTGAGGAGCTCGTGATAATCATGCAAGCAAGTATATAGCGCAATAAGACACACAGACGATCTGGCATGTAGGATTGGCTGAACATTGCGCTGCAGGCTGGTCCAACTCACTTCCAGTTCGCCCAAGCCGATCAGCTGCATCATGAGGTACTTCTTGGGGGTCGCTTGTCCGTACTCCTTGAGGAACCTCTCCAGGCACAGGACCTCCACCAGCAGAATTCTGACCACCAGCTTTTTGGCGTCATCAAGCCTTCCATTGCGATAGCTTCCTAGACCCTCCTTCGTGCGTAAGAAGTCGGTCAACTGATTCTCGAACCTCAGCCTGAAGCGCGCTACCGCAGCCGCAAGAACGTTTGACCCCGGCTCCTCAGTTGTTGAGAAGCTCAGATAGAAGCCGAACATGGCGCACAGAGCCTCCAGCGCAGTTCGCGTCTTCCCGCACCCGGACACACCGAGACCAAAGGTGGCGCGGCCCAGCTGCGTTTGCTGGCCTCCGTATCGAACTCTTGTGGCAATGATGAATTCTATGAGTCGATCAGCCGCGCTCCGGCCCTTCTCCTTCTCGGGTAGCGCATGGAGCAGGAGGGAGGGCTCGCCGCGCCACTGCGGGATGGCCAGGCCACTGATGTGTGCCATCTGGGGATGATCGGCGGGAGGCGTCCAGCAGGGGATCTGCAGATTGCCTTCGTCGTTGAGCAGGCTGAACATAGGGTCGAGCGCGTGGCGAACTTTGTCTGCGATAGCTGACGACCATTGCCCAGTTCCGCTAATCCCTGTAGTCCCGCTAATCCCTGTAGACAATCGAGCAGGGCAGTTAAGCATCTTGGTAGAAGCAAACCAAAGTAGAATTTGTCATCGACATTAGCGGCACCATAATGATTGGAAAAGACCAGGAGGCTATGCAAAGAAGGTGCATCAAGGACCTCATCTGGCAATGGAACAAGCAGTTCCTTTATTAAGCCACCTCTCTGCGCAAGGCCCTCTTTCCACCACCATTACAACGTATGCCCTGTTGGCAACATCTTCGATGTAAGTGCGACTCTGCTACCTGCATCTTCACAATGGTGGTCGCTGGCGAATGGGGGCACTTTGGAGACAAGAAACTTACGCTGTCGAACCCCTTGCAGCTGCCGCTTTCCTGAATCGCCGGATGTTGATGGACCAGCCCCTGCATGTGAGAAAGAGCAGACTATGTCACGGTCTTCTTCGTACATGCTCTGAGGCAGCAAGCAAGGTTGAAAACTTGACTGTGGAGACCCTAGCAGTCAGAAATTGCACAAGGATGACGGTGACAAGCACCCAATGCTCATGAGTCGCACCTGGTCTGCCAACAATTGCACAGCAGACCACTTTCTGCTCCCGAGCAACCCCGCTTCCGCTAGAAACACCCCATGCCTAGCACGCACCACTGTCCTCGGCAAGATTGAAAAAGAAGCTATATAAACTGGCAAGGAAGCCGGCAACACCTTCCAATCAGCAATCTCCCCTCTCATGCCGTCTTTTCCAAGCTTTCCCGGCCGCTACATGCTAAACGACACCACCCAGCGCTTGCATTCTTCGTTCCAGACCTACCACAACCTCCAATCCTAATGTTCAAGGTAGGTTGCCTCGTAGCTAGCCTACTCATCAAACAGAAGAAGCTGCTTACCTCCAGCCTGTTCAAGTCCAGCCTGTTCAAGGAACGTAGTCCAGCCCTCTAAACATCTCCCTTCGTACGCGTCCTTCAAGGTCTTCACCTGGTTCACGCGTCGGTCATAAGGCAGATTCCTCCAGTGTGCGAAGTTGAGCTCATGCTCTGCCAGGTAAGCCAGCAGCGTGGAGCTGATTGGCGAGCCAGCTTCCTCCCAACTCCTTTTGCAAATCTGTGGTAGGGAGACATTGGAGATCAGCACAATAGTGTGTAGCCCGTCTTCTAATATCAAAGACACTGAGCAAAAACACAGAATTGCTTCCCAGCTCGAGAACCACCAGTGCTCATCCCGCCCTGCACTGCAGGAGTCCCCTTGTCCAGGCTCACCTCTTCCATTGAGAGCGGTCCGGGGTTGCTCTCAATGCCACCGGTCGTTAGCAGCATAGCTGCAAGGTGGGACAAAACATTCAGACGAGATGCCTGACCCAGCTGGACTGATTCGAAGCTGATCAAAAGATCCTCATTTCAGACACGAGAAGTGTCAAAGGGGACAAGCCAAGTGCTCTTCGAGTGTCTGCATGTTCAGGCTAACTGCTCTAGCAGAAATTGCGGGTTCAGAGCTGCGATTGAAGTGCCTTACCTATGAGAGATCCGCTCATGGGCAGCGGAACCCAATCCCCTGTACTCTGGAACTCATGCCAAGGTGCGAAAGCACACGGTGAAAGTCTGGGGTCCCCTGCCATCACAGATGCCATCTCGTATCAGTGTATAGAAGAAAGATCACAACGTACCAAAACATAGAAGGGAAATCACTTGCCCCCCAAGTTTGAACAACAGCAAACGAATCAGACCAGCCCAACCAGCACTGCACGCTCACCTCCCGCTGGTTCCGCAGCAAACGAGGTCCCTCCCAGACTTCGGAGCTCCTCTTCCAACCTTCTCTCCTCTGCTCTCAACCAACGCATCTCTCGGTCCTCGGCCCAATCTGCAGGAACATACCGAGCACATCAATATTGACAATCTACTTCGAAGACACATTGCTGACCCTAGGGGAGCAGCTATGAACATTGCAGGGAACTCAAACCCAGCTCGAGGGCAGGCTTTTCAAATGCTCTCACCTCCACGGTTTCCGTCGATGCGGAAACAACCGGTTGTGTGGACATGCCCTGTGCAAAAGTACTTGACCTCCCCTCCTTCCTTGCCACCTCGAACTCCAAACTCTGCAGTTGCGCCGCACCGGTGGCAGAGAAGAGCGTGTAGGTCTGCATAATCAGTGGGACCGGTAAGACATGGGCGAGGCAACGCGTGTAAAATCCTGAGCCAAACCGAAAGACCATGGCCAGTGTACCAAGAATTGAAACGTTCTGTCTCAGAAATGAACAGATCAACCCTGGTACACAAAGCCATGCCATGCCCCTGAGAGTCTAGGCCCTCTGAAGACTAAGCTGAGTAAGTGATGGTATAAACCAAGAATTGAGACATTCTATCGTAGAAAAAGAATAGGTCAGACTTGGTACTTGAGAATGAAGCTTCGGATTGCCTGTGAAACCTACAACAGACTCGAGCCCTGCACGCAAGCCAGGCGCAGCGACACAACCGTTTCACTTTATTAATCCCCACCCCATCCGAGGCCCTGGCAATATTCTAGCATTGCTCGGTGGCTAGGCCTGCAGTATTGAAAATTTGGGACATAGACCAGTTGCGGACGTTCTTACCTGACTGTTTCCCCGGCTGATCGGTGCGGTGGCCCCCGCGTTTTGAGGGGATTCGGCTCGGGCGTTTAACTCTGCGGACAGCCTGAACCCTGCCCCGGATCCCACCCGACGTACCCTCCCTACCCCGCTGCTTCAGCCCCTCCACGTGCGCTGCAGCCGTCGAGACGACGTCTTGACGGAAGCCCCCAAGCAGAGCCGATTCTGGGACACCGACCCACCCCTCCAGGCCGCTCATGGCAGCCTTCAGAGCCCTGTCCCAGGCTCCCTTCGTCCGAAGGAAGCCTTTTGGCCCGCACGCCTCCCTTGCCAGCTGGCACACGCTCCCCGCGTTCCTTCGGAAGATGCGCTGCCCCCTCACGGTCCCCTTCACGAGCACGCTCCTGACCAGGACTCGAATTCTTGGCAGGGAGACCGCTTCTGAGAGGCCAGCTGTCTCTTGGAGGTTTGAGCTGTCACAGGGGTGCTGGCGGAAAATCTTCCTGCTCGTGAGCGGAATCTGCATGAGAAGAGCACCACGGTCGGGTGGAGGGAAGCACCTCTGGGACAAACAACAGTAGTGCTCTGAAAAGCTGCTAGGGCACTTCAGGACAAAAAACAGTTGAGCCCTGAAAGCTGGTGAATCATGGTGAGTGACGCCGTGTGTATCAAGAATCAGGAATCTCTACTTTCAGAAAGAACATACCAACCTTGGTACACAAGGAAGCCCGGCCACGCTACCCAGAGTCCCTGGATATTTTAGTTGATTGCATGTGTTCCAAGATTTGGAAATCTCTATCTTAAGAAAGAACGAAAGGGCTTGGTAGAGGAGAAAGAGCAATTGCATGTGGTGAGCTAAGCAGATAGGATCTGGAGCATCACCTGAAATGGGGTGCAGAAACTTTCCCTTGCGCCAGAGTCTGCATCCATGGCTGCAGAGGGGAGCCCTGCTGCATCCGTTGATTGAGCGGCCTCTAAGGGAACCACCACCTGCACAGTGCACCAAACAGATTACCATTTTGCAAAAGACACGATACTCAACCTCGCTTCTCGAGTATGACAACAATGCTGGTCTTTAGCGGGCGCTTCAGGAAGGGCGCCGGTAAAAGGATTGACTTTCTACTCTTGAAGGGACTCTCTACTCTGAAAGAGACTGATGATTATCATGGGAGTACGCAAAGAAGCCCGGCCATACCCCCGGTTTCCCAAGATCTTGTAGTTGATGGCGGGTGACCAAGAATCAGGAAGTTCTACTCTAGAAGAGAATAGGGTATTCTTGGTAATAATGAATTCCGGCCATACGCCTGGATTGGTCGAAATGGTTTTTTACGGCGGGAACCGTAGTTGACGGAAAGTGTACCAAGGTTCAGAAACTTCTACTCTGGAAGAGAATAGACTGTTCTTTGTACACGATCAAAAGTGGCCATACCCCTGGTTTTCTGGAAATGTTGTTGCTGATGGCGGGTACCAAGAATCAGCCACTACTACTTTTAAAAAGAACAGACTCTTCTTGGTACATAGTGAACCCGGTGGAATGAGCCCGGCCATACCCCTGGTTTTCCAGAAACCTTATAGTTGATGGCCGTTGTACCAAGATGCAAAAAGTTCTACTCTTCAAAGGGAATAAACTGTCCTCAAGAGGAATAGCCTGGCAGGATTGGAATCATAACGACATTTGCTTGACCAACGATTCCACTTGTCCATCTCACAGGTGATGGATCAGCGACAAGAGTACCTGGACGAGACGATCTTGGCCAGCGTGTTTGCTTACACTAGAAAGGTGAGGCTGAGATTGACTTGAAGCAGAGCATGGTTGCCCTGCAGATTTAGGCAGCCTCGCCACAGTTCTGCACACACGTGTCTGCTCTGCCGTTACCTGCGCCTTAGTGTTACAGTCAAGGGGATCTCGAAGGGAGTGACGAACTTCTCAAATGAAGCGTTAACAAACGTGGGGGGGAGAAGACCAATGGCTCACACAGAACCAACACAACTAGAGCGTTCAAGGGTCAGCAGATTTGGATGTCGTGCTTGACCAAGCGAACCGTGAACAGCTCTTAAGCGCTGGTTCAACCAGACGTGAGGCAACTGTGAGATCCGACGCCTCTGTCCCTGGCCAAATCCAAAGATACGCCGGTCTGCGTTCTGACGCCTCAGGAGAAGGAACGGCGCAGCTTTTTGATTACATGGTTCTCATGTTGAGTGCGTGATAAAAGGCGCAACAATGTCACTTCATCGCCCCTTGATGCTAAGTGCTGAAAGTCACTGATGACTCGTACCTGTGCAGGTCAGAAGGAGAGCTGAATACTGGTGTCTAAGGCTCGCGGCAAATGTTGCAACGACGACACACTATACATACACTATACACTATACATACACTTTTGATACACTCATTGCCGTAAGGTTTTGTGCTGACAGTCTCTGATTACTAGGGCGGGCTGGTGCAGTTCGGGGTCGAATCTCGAGCTGTGGTGCGTCGTTACAGCGCTTTTCAGGCAGGCTGCACGATCTTGCAACCAAAGCGCAGGTTAAAGTAGGGTTAACAGCGGAGCCAAGTTTAGTTAAATTAGTTAACTAGGCTATCGCTGGGGGCTAGGCCTTCATGCGCTTTCAGGCGAAGGCCTATCCTGGGCCCGGAGGTTGCCAGAGTTGCTTGCGACGTTGCGCGACTTTCTGCGATTCTGCGCGACTTTACGCGACCACTCCGCGACTTTGTTCTGCGAACTTCGCGACCTTCACCGCGACTTTATAACCTTTTGGAAAACATGTTTTGAAGCAAGTTTTGTGTTTGGATGCTTGCAATGCTCCGCGACGTTCCGCGACTTTCCGCGATTTTCCGCGACTTTCGTCCGCGACTTTAACCGCGACTCTGCGACCTCCGGGTCCAGGATAGGCCTAGGCGAGCCTGATATACTGGTAGGTACTACATAGGTACGTAGGTTTGCATGCCCGTGTACCTAAATGTTTGCATGTACATACGGTACAAATCTTATGCAATACCTACTGCCATGCTTTGAAGAGTTTTAACCGTTCACAATATTGGAGCTAAATTCAAATTGGATAATGTTGCATTAACGAAATTGTAGCCCCGAGATTGTTCAGATTCGATGAACGGTACATCTTCATTGTTGAATGACAAGCATCATGTACGTTGCAATATTGCGGCAGAATGAAATTTCTCGAAAGCGTACGGTTTATGTCTTGAAGCTTTGCTGCTCAATACAACACGAGAATGCGATAGCATATAGCGTACACCACGGTGGTGCCGCGGCCAATCTCATAGCAAAGTTGTTAAAGCATGTAGCTCCACATCGATTCCTAGAAGAGAGTGGTTCTATGGTGATAGTAGATGCACAAATCAATTGGAGTGATCCACAAAGCAAGCATGTCCATATACTGTTCTTCCAAAGTACGTTGATAGAATGCAACATATTGCAGCGCCGCTGTGGATACCAGGGTACCGTACACCTGAAACAACTCGCAATGACCAACATAAGATGGGACAGCGCCGCCACATTGCTTGAACGCCTGCAAAGGGGGAGGAAAGTTCAGCCAATGGATCCAGCGTCAATAAAGATGATGAGCTTGAACAAGCCAAGCGAAGCGACATATCATTGGAGAGCTGGAAAGATCTAGAAAGCCCTCAATTGGGTCTCACATCAAGCTGTGCCGACCGCTGTCAATCGCGAGTTGCGACCTGCCACATCAGATCTCTTGAGATTGAAATGCCCACTTCAGGAGAGGTTCTCATGACCAACCACACTTTCTTGCTGCAAAGGGTTGCCAAGTAGAAGCAGCCATGTTTCGTCACGATTGATATGCATTCAAGGGTGGACAAGATTTTTGCTAGATACAGCCAGGCTCCGTGACAGGCTTCAGATCCGGTAAGGATAGTGCAGAATGAGAGCAACATGTACCATGGAAAGAGTTCCTGAACAAAAGAGTAGAGAAAACAAGCGAAGACTCACCCATGTAGAGAAGATCGCGGAGTTATGGGGATGCGACGCACAGTCCAAAGTGCGTATCAGCGAACAGGGCGAAGGAGCATCATTTGACGGCAGCAACACAGCAGGTTGATTAGGTCCGCCACCACCATCTCACTTAACGGGCAAGCACCTTCGATCCATCTCAGTTAAAGCACCGAAAGGTGGAAAGCTGGATGAATGATTCACCTTGCATACTGCATAAGAAGGAGCACACTGAATAAGTTTGAGTTGTATTAAGCTGCAAAAATTCCCAACGTGACCATGCTACGCTGTGGGCCAATAATAGAATTATGCAAGGACGTCGTGCTAACTGTGAGACTCGTGGAAAGATGGAGATCAGCATTGCTGCAAAACTCAGAACTTGTGCCATAGAAGGTTTGAAGGTTTGAAGGTTTCTCAAATGTTGAAACAAACAGTATTGCTTGTGCTTGGCAAATGGCGCGTAAATGCTGGTTTGAGACAGACGCAAATCCTTCATTGTAAGATTGAGCGAACATTATGTAGAAGCACCTGGTTTACGGGAAAGATCAGAGTGCCTGGCTTGCAGTCTCCAGCATATTCAACACTATGCAGGTACGCGGAAGGGGTATGCGCTTCGAAGGAAACCAGCATTCAGACGCGCAGAATCAAGAAGCATTTGAGACTCACCCTCGAGATTAGGATGCTGCATAGCGTAGCTCTCAGACAGCAAGGGACGGCTTTGTAGCAACTTCAAGACCCGCAGGAAGGAGCGTCAAGGGGCAGCGCCATGTGAAGCTCACAGAACTGGCATGCGCTGTACGTGCTTACTGCAAGGAAAACTGGATGATTGAGCACGGTGTAAACACTGTAACAACCGCAGATCATCAAAGTTCGCAAGAGCTCATGCGATTGGGGAACTTAGAAAGTAAGGTGTCTCTGATAGCGCATGTCTGGTGAAAAAAGCTTTGATATCGGGGCAAAAATTGCGACTTATGTCCAAATCCCTAAGGTCAGAAAGTTGATCAATGGACGACGTGGAACAGATGGCACAATGATCCAGATGATGCAATGGAACAGATCTTGAGTGCTAGTAAACTAAACAAATCAACGACTTTGAATGAATGAAAGTAGCGGCAACGAGCGCCGTGGCAAGTATCGAGAAAAAGAATCTTGAGGGACACTCAGCGGAGCAGAGCCTTTTATGCAACTGAGCTGGTTTGGATGAAGCAGCTGATTGGACCAGGCAATCAGGAGTGAGCAATATTTGCTTTCAAAGCGTATGATTTTGAATGCTGCCAAGAATATGAATGAAATATGAATGGAAATTTCTGCGACACCGTGATCGGCTGAGATTGGAGTCAAACAACTTGCTTTTGTCAATCTTCAATGGCTTTGAATGAAAGCGGGCCGCCATCAATGCTCACCAAAAGATGGAAAGCGAAGAAGTAACCACGAAGCGAAGCGAAGCAACAAAGAAGGCTGATGGAGAGAGCAAAGCGCAGGGACAGGAGTACGCAAGCTCCAGTTTGCCAGCCCTGCATCAGAAAGCTGAGATAAGTTAACTCAAAGGTAGGATACATGAGATAGATCAGAGGAATGATAGCCTGAAAAGCACCTCTGCGAATAGATGTGCTGCCTCATGCATGAAAGAATGCTGCATAAGCTGACCGTAAAATCAGATATTGCAATCTCACCTTGCAAAATAATGTGCTATAGGCTGTTGGGGAAACTCCATGGCGGCAGCCCACGCGCTGGACTGGTTGCTGCCGTCACTTGACAATTTGGGAAGAGGATAGAAGATATCAGGCTAGTAGGGAATGACGAGTAGGAAACTAGGAAAGCCCGCGAGGCCGCCCATCGAGGGCGCCCTGTCCGCCCTGCTTGCAATGTGAGGAGCTAAAGCTGCAGTGGAAATGCTGTAGCCTTGGGTTAAACTTGTGCCACTGATTCTGGCCCTGGCCCTGAACAATCGCAAGCTCGTCTCAGATCTGCACAGTAGCCGTCGATGTGATGTTCCTGGTGTATAGGCCGTCGGATAAGGTCCACAATTCAGATATTTATAAAGCCGTGGTGTCAAAGGTCCTCGACTGACGGGCAAAAACTTTCAAATGACACAAATGGAAATTTGGTGCCATGCTTTATATATTAGCATATCAGCCCAACCAAGTTAACACTAGCCCCACAGCCTGCAAATTGCCCTATTATTGACACCGACTGGTCGCAGATAAATTGCCCGCAGTCGAGAACCGGCGGCTCAGTGCTACTTGGTTCTGGTGCCGAGCGTTTGAGTTACAGCGGTCGACCGACAGGCGACGCACCAATTTCCAGTCTGCGATGTTCATTATTATTGACACTCATAGAATCGCGCCAGTTAAGATTCGGTCGAGCAGCGGCGGTGGCGCCAAGCAGCCAATCAGATCGCAGAGCTCGAAATCGAGTCACTAAGAGCCCCCTAACGAGGTACAGAAAACCTTACCCTAACTTAGTTAGTTAGTGTACAAAATTAACTAAGTTAGTTACTGAACAGCCACGTAAACGGTGCGTAAACCGTCAACATTGCAAGGATCGACCGGACAACTTTAACTAAGGTAGGCTCCGACCAATAACGCTTTTCCATTCGCAAAGGTTAAGTTCACATGTATGCTTTAGCTTGATCGAAAGCGCACCCACCTAGTTGAAGATTGGGGCAGATCTAGCTGCCACAGGCACAAATTGGTCAGAACTTGAACTTACAGAAGGCAAGAGGAGGAAAATTAGTGGAGGAGGGAGAAGGGAGTGCTCTGTAAGATATACATAGCTTCTGTTGAAGCTCGGTGCTGATTACATCCAAAATGGCAAGGCCTGGGGGCTTGCGGGGTGAGGACCCCAGATACATCCAGCCAGCCAGAATGAATGCGGCGGGGGGCGATTTTACGCCAGGCAATAGCTACCACCCAGAAATGAGGCAGAGAGCGGTCGCTGAGTATATGGAGCTGGCGCAGCAGGCTGGAGTAGAAAGGCCCTGGGGGGCAGCACAAGAAATTGCAAGAAGGATCAGGGTCCATAGATCAACCATCTCTCGCTGGATAGATGCTTATATGCAAGATGGGCGTCTTGGCCCCTTAGAGCGGGGCACGACACATGGAGAAAGGCTAGGTCTCAGGCATTTGACCTACTTAGAAAGCCTGCTGGAGGCGGATAATTCTCTGCATCTCTGGGAATTGCAACTGTTTATGAGCCAAGATCTGGAGGGAGTTGTTACAGTCGCCGACGTGTCTGAAGCCACCATATGGCGTGCTATCCGGATGGATCTGGGTTTGTCTTTCAAGAAGGTGAGCTACCACTGCCCTCACATGAAGTCATGTACCGCTAGCCGATCAGCTCGAAGGACGCGCACAAATTCTGCTGGTTGTCGTAGCACTGAGGAATACAGTCAATTTTCCGCTCTCTGTTGGAATACATGTGCAGTTGCCGGCTTGTGAATGCTCAGGAGTATCGCCTGGATGTTTGCAGCTGACGCGCATTGCGCCCCAGCAGCTCACTGAAGAACACCAGGACGTCAGGCTCCGCTTCATTGCGGAGATGATGAACATCCCAGCACAATCTGTGCTGTTCGCTGACGAGACCGGTGTAAACTATATGTGCGGCTCTCGACGGTATGGGTGGGGTCCGGCTCAGGGGAACACGCGGTCTGAGGCTTGGGTCAGGAGGGGCTACGCTCCAAATCACACGGTAGGCACTTGCGGCGAAGTGAGGGAGAAGCCTTTTTTGTTCTCCTCTTGTCCAGCGGAAGCTCAACTCTGCTTGGTGCCTTCTGGGGCCTTCTCTGATGTGGAAGCGCGCCTGTTCAGTGCCGCTCAGGCACATTCAATGCGAGCAAGAATGTTGCACATTTGCCGCCAGGAGGTTGTCCAGATAGTAATGATCATAAGTAACTCAGGTTTCTGCGTTGCGTGTGCAGGTCATCGCACTGATGTCCATCGATCGGATCGAGTCACACGCGGTTTTGCGGGGGGCCGCAAATGCTGACGATTGGCTCTCCTTCATTGCTGATTCAAGTGCTGTCTTTGCGGAGGAGCGGTTTACTCATTTAGTCATCGACAATGCATCCATCCATCATGCGGTGCGAGAGGAGGTTGAGGTGGGTGATATCTGCCACAGGCCAGCTTGCACTTTTTTCCTATGTTGATTCTTAGACATTTCAGAGGTTGCACGACACTGTTGCTTTCAACTTCTGTTCCAATCTCATTCCCCGCTTGTTTGTGGGGTCTGCTCTTGATGTCAGGGCTCAATCCCATGGCAGGCCTTGATTGACGTGTGATTCAACTCACTTTGTAGGCTTTGACTAGGCTTTTCTTGAATTGCTCAACTTCTGTACATAAGGGGCATGAATTCGCGCTCAAAAGTTTGTATTGAAAACTCGGATGTTTTCCATTTGCAGTTCATTCTCCAGAAATTTGGCGTGACCTTGATTTTCCTGCCCCGTTATTCCCCTGGTAAGTTCGTCAATTAAAGCAAATTTGTCCCAATTGAGACACTACATCCTGTGCATCTCAGGAATGTGTCAACTGGTAACGTCTTGAGTTCGAGTGCCTTGATCCAAGCTGGCAGAACGTCATTGCCGCATGCATGCATATGCAATAGGTAGCAATACATTGGTGTGATCGGCTTTGATGATCCTCTTTCTTCTTGCAGATCTTAATCCGATAGAGGAGGCCCTTCTCCAAGTTCAAGCACCTCTTGATGACCATAGGGCGGGCATTGGATGACATCGAAGTTGTTGTTGCTGACGCTTTTTCAAGTATAATGCGGGCTGACTGCTTGTGATACGATCGCTTTTACCTTTAGCTAGAATATTGATCGAGGATGCACTCGTTTCGACCACTTCGGCTTCAGGCTCCAACACAAACGTGTTTCGCGATCAAGACCATGAATGTTCAGCATCTATAGAAGCATGTGCAATGAAGAAATTCGCGAATCAATGGAATCCAGTCATCAGCTGTTGATTCCACTTTGACACATGTGATGGTGTTGTGCGCCGCGCGAGCTGGTGGCTTAAATGTCGTGCAACTTGGTGTATGAACTCAACTTGATCATAACGCACTAGAAATGAGAAGATCGTGTTACATGGAGTGGATGATACAGTCGTGACTAACTTGACCCTGACGGACTCAGATGAAGTCTGACCCTGGTGGGTCGGGCTCGGCGGACATCTGCACATCATGTACACGACTCACGGTAAGCCTTCTCGTGCATCGACTGCGTGGATGCGGCAAAGATAGATGCTTCAAGCTCCTATCAATCTTGTATTTACAGCAATGCGGCCAAGGTGCTTCTTGTACTTCAGCAACCGTGTACCCGCTATCTGGTAAGTTGACATGCTCACCTTCACCCAGGACATCATCACCGAAACTTCGTCCTTCGACCACTCCACCGTGTCAGTCAAGCCGAACTGTTCGTACACACGCCTGCATGCATAAATCAAATCAGACTTTGGAATCTGTCGCCTGCATGCATAATCTTGGAACTTCAATTCCGAGACTGATTGGAAAACCTGTTCAAAGCCATGGTGCAAAAAAAAACGACGTTCACCTCCCTTTTGTCAAGCACGAAGCACGTGGCAAGGTGATTGCATGTAAACCCGAGTAAGGATTGAAGCAATCACTGTCTGGTTTCCTCATTGACTTGAGCAGAAAGAAAGGAACATTACATACCAGACTGCAGTGGAACCGTCTCCATACAGCTTCTCGACTTCAGTCTGGACTGAGTTCCGGAAGAAAAAGTCGAGATGCAGAGGGACTTTCAGAAACTGTGCACAGAGTCGCCCTGCAAAACAATAAAGTAGCCGTCCTTATCATTCGAAGCTCTCAAAGGTTTCGCCGTTTATGGCATCACGGCACAATAGACGAGACAGTCAGCATTTTCCAACTCGAGCTGCATGTGACAACAAGCAAAACCAGAAAGCATCCGTTGAATCACCTTTTGGCCCGTGATTCGAAGCCCAAGTCCAGCTTTGCTCACCGTATTCTGAGTCAACAAGCATCCGTTTGGCGGTCATTGTTTTGCGGGTTTTGTACAGGTGGTACAGCTGTTCCCCGATCCACCACTTCTCCAACCTTCGGGCACACACGATACGAGAGTTTAGGCACACATTGCCAACCGAATCAACATGATAACGGTTGGAATCAATCCAGATTCGCAAGATCGAGTGGTTTCAAAACCTGAGGTCGATATTTCGAACATGTTAATATGATTCTAGGAGGACAGCCCCAAGCACTGACTCACGTGAATTGCGAAGCTTTTACCGCACGGCCGACGTCACTCTCAGCACCTGTGAGGTAAACACAAGAAGCACAATGTTTTAGCCAACCATGCCCAGGCCTACGGCCTTTTGATACCATATGCGGATCCAAACTTCAACTGCTATCTTGGATTTCAAGCGTAGCAAAGTGGACAAAATCATTAGGTACTCAAGCAAAGCCGACATTTTTGTCAACGTCCGGTTTGCGACCGTCCGAATCAGGGCGCACCGCGGAGGATCCAATCAAGCAACAAAGATGGCAACCGGTCCATAAGGTTCTGCACCCACGGGTATATATGGCTCGGTCAGCTTACTTTCGAACTGATCCGCAAGCGCCTTGAAGCGTTCAGCTATCTCGTCTTCGTCGTAATCGCTAACATCGCTCTCCGACGGGCCCGCCTCGGACATTGTGGCCGTCCTCTTGGCCGCCAATTCTTGTAACGCACGGACGGCCTCAGCAGCGGAGGGGCTGAGGTCGGTCAGGGTGCTTTTGCCAGCCACCTGCAATGGAGGGACCAATCACAGTGAATAGGAGCCGGCTGGTTATCTTGACGAAACCCGTAATGGCGAAGTGAAAAGACAGAACGTTAGCGCTTGAGAAGTTTGTCAGGAGAAGCCAATCCAGCCAATTTGCCGTGCGTTTCTTGTAGCAATACAGAGCTCGGCCAACTTAGGATCCGTTCAGAAGTCTAGAGGGGCGGGTTTCTTTTCTTGCAATTCGCACCCATTTGCCACGAAGCTGTCAGAAGATTTATTGACTTTCGGTACCATCGCCCCTCCTCTTATCGTTCTCATCCGCTGGAGGCTTCCGCTCTGGACTGCCCTCGTCCCGGGCGCGCTTCTCCCCGCTGCCACGTGGCACCTTCTCCTGCTCTCCCCGCTGCTGATCTTCC